AGGTAAAGGTTTTGTTTTACTTTTGTCTGAATGGAGTCTACTTAACATTTTTTTTAAATTTTTTATTATTATGATCTAATTATGAATATAGTGTACTTATTATTATTATTAATACTAGTTAAATAAACAATAGTAGATGAAGGATATAATTTTTTTGTCTAAATTTAGTTGAGATAAAAGAGATACAAAATCTATTTATATGCATACATAATTTAATCCTATGAATTGATTATATTGTAAATATAAATTATTTAATTACAACTCAAGCTCGCAATTTCCTTAATTCAAGCACTATACATGTTACAACTTACAACAGAGGGGCATCCAAATTATTCTGTGATCAGTAGCATAAATAACATACATCCACTCCACCGCGTCACTTCAATAAATGCTTTAGAAATACTTTAAGAAAAAGGATGAATATGAATGATGATTTACAAAATTAAATTCATAAAATAAAATTGAAAATATAAGGAGAAAGTTTAATAGGCTCAAAAGTATTATATTACATTGACAAAAGATGGCCGGGACATTAAAACATTGTATAATCTCAAACATATTTAACTTTTTTTAATTTCTTTCAGGATCATTACTCAAAGAACACCCTTCCTCGAACGATATTCTTTTGAGCACTATACTCAAACATTAAAGTGTTTATTATCAATAAAATGATTCATGAAGTCTTTACCAATGCAGTAGCTTAGATCATTAGATATATTTACACAATTTTTATGAAAAGTAATTTTTAATGTCTAGCCTAATTTCTCCCTAGGTAAACATAGGAGGTAACTTCAAGTATTAACGTATCCCCAAAAGACTGATTTGCTGCTTCTTCAAACATGTCAAACTGACTATTACGTTACATTTTTGTTTCGTTTATTCTTTATTTCCTTTTACTTCTTTTTTTCTACACTTTTCTTCTTCTTATTTTCTTATTTCTCCTGGGCTTATAATTGCATATCCAATCAGTTTCAAGTCACAGAACAAAATCTCTCTTTTTTCTTCCTAATTTGGTGATATACATTAGAGGTGTTAATCGGGCCGGGCTGACCCGCTAACAACCCGGTTCAACCCGGGCCAGCCCGGTCCAGCCCGTTATTGTACACTCATGTGCGGGTTGGGACGGGTTGGACGGGAGGCGGGCTAGTAACGTTAAGTTTTCGTCAAACGGGTACTCGAACCCGCCACAACTCGTTAAGCCCTTAATGGGTTCTTAACGGGCCTCAGCCCGCGACAGCCCGCAAAACCGCCTAAACTATCAATAACATTGAAAAAAAATATATAAGATAGTTAAAAATAATTTTTAAAAAAAAAAACGAAAACCCGGCCCGCCCGAACCCGTACGGGCCCTATAGAACCCGAAAAATCCCAGCCCGCCACTAGCCCGTTAACTCCAGCCCGCTAACAACCCGCTCGTAACCCTAACGGGCTGACCATTTTTGTGTCCAGCCCGTCTCAGCCCGCCCGATGAACACCTATAATATTACATCTCTTTTCTCCAAATAAATGAGAAGTGAGACGGAAATTTTTTGACCAAAATGATGATGTTTGATATTGCCCGTAAACATTAAAATATTGTACTCGAGGCATATTCTATACATCCAGAATATATCAAAGAGCTCATGAATGCATATGCTTGTGAACTTGTAAAATTAAAATTAAAATAAATAAATGATATACTTATTAAAAAAAGATAAACAGAAAAAGCTCAGACTCAAGTTTAAAATTATTCTTTTCACATAATTATTAGACATCTTTAAATATATTGAGTTTTAATAATAACTTTCCTTTTATTATATATATTTACTTGACTTTTAATCATTTGTTCTTTATTTTGTATCACTACAAAAACTAAAGAAGAGGAAGAAAAAGCGATCATAAGTGATTTACAATTCGAATCTTCTGCAATTGTTTTTTTCCGTTCTCATTTCTGTCTTCCATTCCTTATTCTTTTCCTTTAACCTTTTACCTTTCTCTTTCTTTCCCTTAATCTTCTGCAATTAATTTCTCGCACCCCTTAAAATTTGCAGCCCTTTTCACGGGATACCGGATCCCACCGAATAACCAAGCAAAATCCTTTTTAACCCCAGACTTTTTTTTTTCAAAATTTCCCCAGAGTTTGATTCTTTTCCCAAATAAATTTTTCTATCAACATCTATAAATTCAGCACATAGGGGATTTACAGAGAATACCATTGAAGCCGCTTAATCATAGAGAAAGGAGCAGTTTGTATCACAAAATTAGAACTACTCTCTGAGAATCTGAAATGAATATTGATCACCAGTTCACCACATATCCACATCATTTTGCTTTGAGTAAACAAAAAGTGTAAAAAATGAAATAAAAAATTAAGTAAAGCTTTATACATGAAAACGAAAAAAGAGAAAGCCCCACTAGCTAAAATTACAGAGAGATTAGAAAGAGACTATGACAAACATACAAAATACCTTGGCGAAGAGTTTCGCAACCAGAAATTCGTCGTCCTTAAGCTGGAATATTGGAAATTTCTCTATTCATCAATTTTTGCCGATATCTCATTTTTTCGAAGCTTCGTATACTACAAACAATGCATATGCCCTTATATGAGAACACAACTAATCAGCAAATAAAGATGTAGTTTCTAATCTCGAAAGTTGGTTGATTGAAACGAATAACTCGAATAGAAAACTAAAGAGAAACCACATTGTAAAATCAATTTTATCCAATTTATCAAATGGTGGGGCTTTTCAAATTCTGATATGTTTTAGTTCTGGTTAGTCATTATGGATCTTGATGATGAGTAACTGAAACGTTACCAATGTTCTAATTTGGCAGAAACGGTCCCACGGAGGCTATTCTAAGAGAAGCAAAGAAGTGACGTTTGAGTTTTTGCATTTAAAATAAAATAAATAAATAAATGAAAAAAATTAGGGAGAACATCGAAAAAACCAAGAAAAAGATAAATAGCAATGCTGATATTTGGGATGTGCCACGTCAGCTTTTTGATTCCTTCTTTTATATATATATATATATGGATTATTAACTTGTTCAACTAATTTCGACAGAATTTGTATGATTTTAATTGCTTAATTTATATATATAAGACATAATTAGTGATAAATTAGTAGAAAGGGATTTTCTTAAATAATTATTATGTGTAATTCTTGATAACTTAAATATTTAAAATAATTGAGGGTATTATAGTAAACTTATCAGTTACAGTACAATACGATACAGTCAAACCAAACAACAAAATGTTATTTAACAACAACAAACAATACAATCTATCCAAACATTGTATTCATAAAACGATACGACACAATATAATATAGTACAATACGATAAATTATAAAACGACGGGAAACAGTAATCCAAACAGAGTGTAAGTCACATCTTCTCCTATTTTTAGACACCACATCTAGTGAAGGGGCTTCGCCTTTGTGGATCTTCATCCTGCAACATACAACAAAAAATAGAACACAATATGTAAGATACAACTTAATCTTAGTATTTAGGTGAAAGAAATCAACAGTTTAAACACGCGAAAGTATATAAAGAATCCATCTTTTAAAATATTGAACGTGGATAATGAACGTGTTATGTGCGATGTAAAATATAGAGGTGAATTGTTCTTAAGTCATGACAGATTGGCAAGAATACCAATTTTATTCAATTGTTCATTAGTCAATACAGATTGACAGAGTTCTATCTCCATTCTACCTATTTTGTTTAACTGTTACTGTTTTCTTGGTACGTATTTGTTCAATTGTACACTAGTCATGACAGATTGACTGAACTTGGTATTATCTTAATTCTACCTATCTTGTTCAATTGTTCACAAGTCATGACGAATTGACAAAACTTGATACTACTTTCAATCTATCTATCTTGTTAAATTCTTCGCAAGTCTATCTTGTTAAATTCTTCGCAAGTCGTGACGGACCGTCAAAACTTGTCAAGACACATATAATATATTGTATTTTTAAGGAGATCTATTTTTATCATCCATAACACATAACACTACTGCGACCTGGATTGAGAGCTCGGCTTATAATGTTATTGTATTTGAGAAGAGGCTATCAGCCTATAGTGATAACTTGTGAGTTTACACATAAATAGAAATATTAGAAAGGAAAAGAAAAATAAAACTAAATTTTGACTAATAGCAGCAGGATACAACTGTGATTTGTTTCAAGCCTTTTGGGACCAAATACATGTGTACCAGCTTGTAATCCGCCCATTTTGTGTTTTAAGAACGTGGAAAGATGAAATTTTAAGCCTGACAAGTACCAAACTAGGGGAACATTCACACTAACTTGACCAAATATTCTCACCATCTTATGACTTGTATGGTGTGCATTTTTATGTTGTGGAAGAAAAGAATGGAAGGGTAAAAAAAAATATTTGTGTTGCCTGTAAAACGTAAGAAGCCTATATTTAAACAACTTTAAAAAATGGGGAAAAAAGTTTAAACACCAAGCTAAGCAGATGCCTGGTGCAGTAAGCTCCCGCTATGTGTATCAGGCTGAGCAGGTCTATCACACCAATTCATGCCCCTTAAAGGAAAGGGATGAGAAGTGGTCCAGAAATAGTTTATAATTATTGTAAATGATGACTGCTTTGGAACCTAATCACTATGGGAAACTCGCCAATATTGGTTTTGGTCTTGATCAGGAATTGAAGCCTTTTGTTGACAGCAGTAGATTGGCTGACCTGAACGGCGTTGACGAGGTGCGAGGAGAAATTGGAGAGGCAGAAGTCATATAATGGGAATAAATAAGCATCGATGAAAGTTGAGCGCGAAGCTGGAAACTCAAAAAAAATGGAATCAAGCTAATTTAGGACCTAACTCAACCTCAAAAGGTAGCTCGAGAGGCGAGGATTGCCCAAAATCATATGGATAAGAAAACGACTAATAGAAACTTGTCTTTTATGCCATTTTATTTTTTTTATTTCACAAATTCCATTATTTGATTCGAATATGTTGCCTTCTAGTTTAGCTAATTTAATTGAAGCAGGGATAAAGATCTAACTTCAGCTAGATAGCATAGGCAACCTAACTTCAGTTAGAACAAGCTTTTCATATATAAGCTAACATAGGCCTGTAAAGTTCAGTATGAAACCCATGTCAGCTACAAAAACAAGCATCCAAGAGCCAATCTTGAGTCATAAAAATAACAATTTTGTAAAAATATAAACAGATATAGTATGCTACTAGACACCACATCCAAAAAAGCTAGTAGTTGTTAATGCTTTCAAGAACACAAAAAACAACGTTAGTTTGTCATAATATCCTGAAGCTTCAGCCACTAATAGCAAATTAGCAATCACGCTGCATCACCAAGATCCTACAAGATGGGCCAGAAAACCAAAAGGAGAAAAATAAGCGAGTATAACACTCTGGAAGAGTATATTTTAAACTTTCAGATAGATCATGTATAATAAGATATCAGCAGCAAAACTGAGTAACTATCGGGCATCAAGAAGAAGCATTGCATATTATCTGTACAAGTAGATAATCACATCATCGTACACTCGTTCAGAGAAACATCAAGAGTAACAAAGTAAAACTAAGAAAGTGAACAGAATTTGCTAGAACTGAATGCAAAAACAGAACACAAGCAAAGAACTGGGAAGAACCAAATTGCATCAATTCATAGAATGCAATTATCCATGTCTTAATTTACGGACAAATAACCCAAACTAGTCGATAGAGCTTAGCTGTTTATCGGTTCAAGAAAATGCAGGTGGTGATTTAGCGTCTTTAACTCTTTCTTCTTTTTTGCATCAGACTAACAACTTTGTTACGGAGAAAATAACTTACCTTCTGTGCAGTGACAAATTCAACATGAGCCCTCAAAAGAACCATCCTCAACCAAGTTGGGTAGATTTCCAACAAACAATGTTTTTGATCCCGGAGTTTGAGCTTTAGGAGTAATAGGGGTCTTTTGCTGCATTATGAACAGCATAGTTTTAAGTAAAATACAAAACGCAAATTATAATTTTGTAAAGCAACGAGACATGACAAATAGTGCAGCTCAACCAACTGTAAGAACGAAGCTGTAACTAATTATGAAATCCGTCGGAAGAGATGCAGATCATCTAGTTATGCCAAAAAGGAATATTCTGATCAACCCAAAAGATACGAAAATATTACCTTCTTGGGAGTTCTCGATGGTTTTTCATCCTCTTCTTCTTCAGAGGACTCATCTTCCTCAGAAGATTCCTCAGAACTACTCTCCTTCTTTGAGACAGCTGGAGTGCTAGAGGGCTGTGAAACAGAATTGTGAAATGATGAACTAAAACGAAATACAATTTGGAATATTTGCATTTATCACTTAGCATATGCCCTTACATCATCATCTGAACTAGACTCGTCGCTGGATTCTTCCTTTTTAGAGGCAGCGGCACTACCCTTTTTAGGTGCAGCAGCAGGTGCCTTATTAACGGCATCCTCCTCCTCAGCGCTGCTATCATCCTCAGAACTAGACTCATCACTTGACTCGTCTTTCTTCGAAGCTGCAGCTGAGCCATCAGCAGGACATATCTTGGCTGCAGGAACATCTTCCTCAGAACTACTCTCCTTTCGAGTATTTGAGACAGTTGG